TTCCAATAAAAGCACAAAAAAATGGTGGGCTCAACTTTACATAGTGTTTGAGAAAGCGCATACTGATTTAGTTTTTAGGGGCCAATATATTCTTAAATGCTGATACTGTATAAAGTTGAAATATGCTTCCATGAAATCTAACAGTGCAGCTTCATTTAGATTCTTTTATGCAATATTTTAGAGGTCATTACTGGAAAACGTGATTTTCTTACTCTGTATTTTATCTTATTTCTGAGTACCAATATCTAAACATTATTAAATCAAGATACATTTACTTACAAAGCAAAATGACATATAAAGTTTTGTTTTATCTATATTAAGTGAGTTTTTACTTAAAAAAGGAAAACATTTCCTTTGTTGAGCTGTTTTTAATTTGACAGCATGATTCATCGTGCATGTTGTTAAATAATAATAAAAAAGAAGATGGACACAAGAATGTTTCCTGCATGATTTCCTTATCAAAAAAAGGAGGTGTATTTCTGAAGTATTCCCCTTACTTTTCCCACATGTAACACTTTGGCCTAGTTCTTTGCCTCTAAAGCCATATTAATTAGTGATTTGGATCAGTTTATCAGTCAATCTATGACAAATTACCCCTTTCCTCAAGAGGATATGAAGATTAAGTTCTCGTTTAGCTCTTCCTTAAGTCCTCTGTTTGCACCTAAAAACAATCCAGTCAATCACGTGTCTAGGAATAATGATGTGTTGGGTTTCCCTGAGGGGAAGTCGTGGCCTAATGGTTAGAGCGTCGGACTCATGACCCAAAGGCTGTGGGTTCGAGTCTCGTACCGGCAGGGATTGTAGGTGGGGGGAATGAATGTACAGCACTCTCTCCCACCTTCAATACCACGACTGAGGTGCCCTTGAGCAAGGCACCGAACCCCCAACTGCTCCCCGGGCGCCGCAGCATAAATGGCTGCCCACTGCTCCGGGTGTGTGTTCACGGTTTGTGTGTGTTCACTGCTGTGTGTGTGCACTTTGGATGGGTAAATGCAGAGCACTAAATCCACATGTCACTTCACTTCACTTAAGATAAAGACACCCTTTAAAGTGGCTGAATGTCACCTGTGAACACCGTTTAGGTCAGTGCTTACTTTATTAATCATGGCCAGGCCATATCCAGACTCCGAGTCCAGTAAAAAGAACTCTGCTGCAAAAATGTTTAAGTATGAAATAAGACTAAGGGATACTGCACACTGGGGTCACTCAGCAATATACGGTCTAAAGGAAAGAAACATACGGGGTGAAGGTATGAGTACTTTACCATAAGCACATACTTGAGTAGTACTCCTCAGTGCATTTGCTAAATATACACTGTAAAAATGATTGAAATTGTAATGGTAAAAGTCTGTAAATAATGATGGGACAAGCATCCGTAAATCATATATGCTTAAAGTAAATGTGCTTAAATGCATATATGCTGAAAGTCCAAGCTGTTTTTGTGTTATTTGAATCTCTGTATGCATTTAAGGGGTATAAGGGAAGTGTGGACAGTAATGCTCCATTTTATACCTGGCATTAACATCCATTTCTATATTCAATCACAAGTGATCACAGGAGACGCATTAGTATCTGGAATAAATTACAATTGTAAACAATCACTTGAGAAGTATGTTCATACCAGCTGTGAACTGGGCCAGTAGGACGGAGGGGGCTCTGGGTTTAGGGGACTCAGTGTTTGCCCGTGGGCAAATAAGATGGGGACACAGATGGTATTTTTACCCTGGTGCAGGTGTTGCAGTGCTGGTTTAATTTGCTGGAGCTGTAGCCAGGGAGCTTGTTCACTCTCCGTAGTGAGTCGAAGCTTCCTGGCTGCATTGCTCAATCCTTCATGAGGAAGAATGGCAGTGAGCATGGTGCATTGTAAAATGTTTTGTTTCACAGTTCCTGTTATATAACAGTTTGGAACATCTGTCTCGTTCTTTCTCTAAATTAACTTCTGGGGATCAATAGAGCACATCCATCCATCAATCTGTCATTCTTATGTATCTTGCACAGTTCAGTGCATGTTCAAGCATCAAACAGTGCATAACATTTCTAGGCAGGCTGAGCAGACTCATTTTCATTAATATTGGCAACTGTGTAAATACTTCAACAAGAATTTTAGAGACAACAGCTATCAAGCCGCTGCTCTCCAGCACCATCTAAGTTGCTAGGCAACACTGCTTGTGTGTGTACACTTCTTTGCGGGTCGCTGAGGGACACTCCAATAAAGTGCACACTCAAGCTAAATCCAGCCATTATCTTTCAGACTCTTCAGAAAAACTTGATAAAGTTGTTAGACAAGTGGGTAATAGTCATGTTGATGTTTAAGACACATATGGCTTATAACTGTGTTATGCATCAGGATGGTTAAATAATCAGTTGCCCAGCCGATTATTGAGATCAACTTTATTTTTATTCTGTAATTTTTTATTTCACTTTACTTTAGCTGTTAGACAGTTTGCAGGGTAAAATTTGCATCTTTGCATTCCCTTTAAAGTGCACCTACAGACTTTCACAGCAGGATAGACGTCTTTTGCCATTGTGCCACATTTTGTTCTCTTTTGTGATGTTTTAGGATGTGTGTCGAGTTAAAAATATTTTGAACATCTTAAAAACGCATCTCGAGACCCATGCAATCTGTTACATTCCACTGTGCGCTGACTAGATGTTTTCGAATGCAGCAACATGCAGTATTATTGTTAAAGGGGTCATATAATGCTGCTAAAAAGAACATTATTTTGTGTATTTGGTGTAATGAAATGTGTTTATGCGGTTTAAAGTAAAAAAAA